CAACTTATTGATCGACATTCAGCACTACAAACGTCGCATAAGGAAGATTCCGACCGCATTCCATTCACTCTCACGTTTCACCCTCACAACCACTCAGTTAAATCCATCATTCTTAAAAACTTTAAATTACTTCAAAACGATCCAGAGACAAGCACTATCTTTTCGCAGCCTCCGCTCATTTCATTCAAACGCGACAAAAACATAGGCAATTTTTTGGTCAGAAGTTCTTTTCAGACTAATGACCAACCAGGCACTTTTAAATGCGCTCGTGCACGATGCAAAACGTGTCCTTTCATTCACAACACTGATAAAATATCGGGACCTAAACGATCCATTAAGATCACCGATCACTTCACGTGCACCTCCGCCAATGTAATCTATTGCATAACTTGCACTTATTGCAAAAAGATATACATCGGCGAAACAGGCAGAAGACTAGGTGACCGATTCCGAGAACACCTTCGAGACGTGGAAAGGAATGACAAGGACACATCGAAACCAGTCGCTAGACATTTTAATTTACCTAATCATTCTAAGCAACATATGGCAATCTGCGGTCTTTCCTTACACTTAGGTAGCACGGAAAGCCGTAAAAATCTTGAACAAAAGCTCATCTTTCAAACCGGCAGTCTAAATCCCACAGGGATCAACGAACGCTTTTCATTCCACTAATTTATTCTTGTTTTTCTCGTTGCCATGTTCCCACCAATAACGTAGCTCCATTTTCTGCCTTTAAAAGCACACACAACCCACAATTCTTCTATTCGCTCCGACGAAGGGCTAACGCTCGAAACGTCAGCTTTTGTAATCGTTACGGTGGCCAATTTACCATTTCAACTTTCTTGATATATCCAAATTATGCAGGAAAAGGAGACCGGGTGAGGGAAAAAAAAAATTCACTTCCTTTTTTCGTACTACTCACTGTCTCTTTCAATCGTGCTGACCGGAAGTAAACCGGCGAATGAGCACGCGCCGCAACGCATTACAATATTAAAAATGTTTGAGAGCTCTACTGATCTCACTGCTCTTACCAAAGAGAAGTCTCCATTTTCTGCTGCCTCTATAGCCCTTTGGGCGATGTAATTTCGAAGAATGAACCTGCCAATAAAATACAAGCACAAGGATATGGTTAAAAATAAGAGAGTTAAATAGAATTAAACTCGGCAATCTCAGAATTAATATTTGTTTTAGCGAATTAGGAATTACAAACGATGTGGAGGAAACGGTAGCTTTATGCTCAGCGGAATGAAATTCAGTGAATTCGGGCTCGATTACTAGCTGAGTCAACGTGTTGTGGTCTTAAGCCAAGCATATAATTCCCGTGGTAACTATCTCTGGAACGTAAATTGTCCCGGAAACTTAACAGAAAGTAGAGAGTGACAGAGAGGAGGGTGGGAGTGGGGCGAATGGGGAATGGGAAGGATAATAACCTTTAATGAACTACCATCCCTTGTAAGATGATTGGCAATACTCCTAAGGAGGCTTGTTGCCAACGAAACAGGGATAAGTTTCGACAGCAATGCGAGACAGTCTCGATATAAAGGTCTTGGGTGAAGTGAAAAGAGTTTCACCAGTTTATTTGTCAATTTTGTACTCTACACTCGCGTGCTGATTATTAAAGTTGGAGAGAGTCGGTGATCGTGGATTCGGGGCTTGAAACCATCATTTCGTTCTTCAAGAAGAAACAACAACATTTACCTTGGGTTGTTTGCTTTCATCACTTTGACTCGTTCTTTGTTTACCTGCGCGCAAGACAGAAAAGTGAATCAATGAAAAACACAAAGTAAGGAAAATTTTACAAGGAGTTTCTTTCAAGTGAATGGAAATGTCGTCTTTACCTCTTCAGCATCAAGTTGGTCGCATTCCAGATCAAGACGAGCTCTTGGTAAATGAGAGAAAATACCGTAAAAGAAAGAACAAATAACAAATGAAAACAAGAGTACACTTGTCAACTCTAATGTAATAACATACCAATTACATACTGAATATCCTTACTTTCACCCCTTCTCTCCCAGAACGATGTTGAAGTTTGTTGTCTGTGATGATAGAACATTAAATAGGGGGGATAATACTGGAAACTGCAGTTCATTTAACCTACACTTCCAATTACTTTCTTTGAAAGTAGCTAGCGACGTGGATATTATGTGTCCCTTAACTTTTTTCTTCAAGGGAAGATTTCCCTTATGGTACTGATCTCATCCGCGACCTGATTCACACTCACTTGTAAGCTCTGATCCACTGCGTCCATAGAACGCGGTCGTTATCCTCTTTTCCTTTTTGAGTTGACTCCTGAGTTGACGATTAATCAACCATGAATAAATCAATTTGGTTTTATCAATTGAGTTGATAATGTCAATTGGCCACCTTAAAAAGATTCTAAGCTGACGTTTGGAGCGTTAGGCCTCTGTTGTGCGTACCGGTGAAGGTCTAACGCTCAAGCTTAGAAACTCCAAGGTGGCCAGTTAACATCATAAACCCAGTTAATAAAACCAAATTATCTTGTTATACACCCTCCTCCCCCCAGCCGAAGCTGCACCACAGCTTCTTTTAGAAACTACCCCTTTGTTCATTAATAAATCAATAAATCACGGAATCAATCATTTACGGAATCAATCAATCACGGAATTAACACGCAGTCATTCACGCAATCAATCACGCAATCAATCAATCACGCAATCAATCAATCACGCAATCAATCAATCACGCAATCAATCAATCACGCAATCTAACACGCAATCAATCAATCAATCACAGAAGTAATTAAGCAATCTAACACTCAATTTAGAATTCATAATCATATATTACGTTTAATTTGAGTGATGTTGTTTAAAAAAGAGAAATAATAAACAATTTCTTCCTATTAAATGAGTTTGTGGTTTGTACGTTCCGCAGCTAGTCTTTAAAGGTTACAAATTTTCATAAACTATCATAAATAGTAAGTTTAACAAAAAACGAAAGGAATAAATGTACTTGACCCATTTATCTTATCTCTGAGATAGTACGTGCGCTACGATTGGTCAAATTAGCGGAGCGTGTTTCTCTGTACAGCCTGCTAGATTCAAAGTTTGTTTTTGGGCCATAAATCAGTCCGTAACTTACAGAGTGGCACTCGAACTAGGTTAGTAAGAAGTCTTTATTATCAAACTGCATTCCATAGAGTACAAATAACGCCATAGACGAGTACAAATATCATGCGGCATTTGTACTCCAGAGAACCGGTTAGACAGGTTTTCTCGCATCATGCAAGCGAAGAATTGAACTGAAGTTACGAAAAAGAAAATGGCGGACAATTTGAATCGTATTTCTGACGACGAAGAGTCGGAATGGCTGGCAAATATAGATCCAAGTTTATTAGATGAATCGAACGAAGAAAAACAGCTAGACTACCAGGAAATTCCTTCATCTATTGAAGAAAATAGAAACAGCAACACGACAACGCGCCAATTCCGTTCCGGTTAGCACACTTCTGTTACGCACTCCCGGTAAATAAACATCCGCGAAATTCGCCCGCACTAAAATAACAATTTGGTGTGTCGGATAAGAAATAACTTATTAGATGCTTTGTTGTGTATTACCGCTGAGTATTCTTACTCGTTATATGTATTTTGACTTGCCCTACGGGCTCGTCAAAATGCTTTCTGTTCTCAGCGATGAAGACATCAATCCCTTAACTCACCGCGCGCTTTCCACTTGACCTCAGGCCTTCCACACGGGCACACTTATTCAAAACTTTCACAAACTAGCCTGAGGACAAGTGGAAAGCGCGCGGTGAGTTACAGGATTGGCGTTCACGCCTCTTTTGTAGAAGTGAAAGACCCAAGGTTCCCGTTATATTTAAATCAACAATACGGCACAACTCCTAAAAATACTCAGCGATACTACTCAACGAAACGTCTAATAAGATATACTTACTCGATCAACCTGCCCTTTTACCTTAAGCTGTTCAATTTTGTCCCGACGCCTTTTATCCTCCAAAAGATGTTTATCAGCTTCCTTTTCTATATGAGAAATTACATTTGGACTTGACTTCCAAACCTCTCTGCACATTGCTATCATCTGACTAGAAACACAAACATGTGGAAAAAAAAGTTGGACGGACCATGTGGTGGCAGATCGCTAATTTCCAGTAGGGCGAAATGCATTTTATAAAAGTTTTGAATAAGCGTGCCCGTGTGGAAGGCCTGGGGACAAGTGGGAAGCGCGCGGTGAGTTACGGGATTGGCATTCACGCCTCTCTTGTAGAAGTGAAAGACCCAAGGTTCCCGTTATATTTATTTCGCCATATGCAATGGTAAACCACTATATAGGGCGACAAGAGAGAAGTCTCTCGACGAGACAAAATGGCTTTACGATTTATACGCTGGGCTCTGGAGTTAGAATGCTATAACACTTTTCGACCCATGTAAAGGAAGTCTACTCGCTGGCTTTTTTCGCACTAACCTCCATTCAAGGACTGTCGAATACGCTTTGATTAGTCCTTGGAGAGGAACACATTGAGACACAAGGTATTCGATGATGTCTTCATCGCTGAGAACAGAAAGCATACATGATGATTACTCAGCAACAATGAAAAATAAGCTCTGACTTTGATTAGTGCCAACGACCACGTACTTATCTGATTTAGATTGGAGCTGTGATCTGTTAACAAACTCCACGTGACTTTTCCGCGCTTTTTCAAACGGTCACATGTTCTCAACTTAATGTCGAATTGGTTAAGCCACCTAAGTGAAGTTCAACAGTACCTCTCCAATGCAATATAAAATTGCATTCGTTCAGCTTTGTAACGTTCTATGATTGGATGAACAAAGCTAGGTGGCCTTGTTCACCCATACTCTCTTCAAATTCTTCTAGGAACACGCTGAGGACGCACCTTCCACTGCCACCAGAAATTACAGCTATTTGTCAGACTACGACATTTTGCCCCAACCAATTTCTCCAAAAAATTCCCTTAAATTTTACTCGTTACATTCAGTTAAAGGCTTTATCTTTTAAATAGCGGTTGCTTGAAACAGTTTCCTGCACCCGTGATAAACCATACATTTTGTGGTATCGACAAACGCGTCTGAACATTGAAACATAGATGAAAAGATTAGTGATAGAACAAACCTTTTCGACGATGGACACCCCTTTGGTGTTAAATCACTGAGACATCGGAAGGTGTTGGTAAAATCAGCTCCAGTTTTCTCCATGGTGTCAAACAGAGCTGTGATTAGCTTCCTACCAAAATAATCGCATAGGACACGTCAGTCTGGTTTCGTAAGAGATCAAACGCAGTAGACAGAAAGAGAAGTAAGAAGCGTTGTCAAAAGAATTGTACGAAGAACTTCGACCTCGACTAAAAAATCGCGACGCAAAACCCTGCTAGTCCCAGTTGTTCGAAAGCCGATTAGCACTAACCCGTGGCTAAATTTTAATCTGGGTTCTTTATTCCTTTGTTCAAAAGCTTTTTTGAGATAATTTTCTCTATTTTTCTTAGAGCAATCAATCATCAAATTGTAGACAAAAAGAATTCTACGAATATTCTTTTAAGGCTTTTAGATCCGAAATCAGATTTCACACTAACCCTGGGTTATCTTAGCCCGGCTTTGAACAAGCCGGCCCAGCTGTACGGTCGGACCGGTGGGCTGGTAACCAGAGGGGTATATAAGTACAAGCAGAGGGAAAGGAATGAGGGGTACAAATGGCTTCAGATATTAATTCATAAAAAGATGGACCTAATGGGGGGCAATCATGTCAGTGGGGAGGGGGAGGGAGGTTATGACCGGGGACTGGGACCTCACGGTATACTGTCAGTGATTCATTCTTAGTATGGTCACAAATTTCACTCACTCATCTGTCGGCAGTTCTTTCTTCAACAATCCAAGCTGAAACATTAAAAAATAATCATAATTACTATATAAATAACAAAAGAGAGCTGCATAACTGAAAAAGTTTACCTTCAACTTCATTTTGGCCATGTAACACCTTTGGAATTCCGAATCAAATCTGAAAAGAGAAGAAATTACAAATAATTTTCCAGACATATCCAGGCATACCCCTTTCCTGAGGAGCTGGAGGTTTTACCACATTACAAGGTCGACCCCTACAGGTTTGCCCTGCCTATAATGAGCTCTTCTCAAATAAAAATCATCTACTGAGCATTAGCACTTCAGAGTAAGCAAAAACATTTTAAATACTTTGAAAAATCCATAGACTGAACTACATGCAACTATAAGGTCAAGGGATGGGTACACATCAGAAATGATCACAAAATAATTTTAGTTTGAAAAACAGGAGGAGCAGAGAAAATATCTTATTGTAGACTGAAATGAGACACAGGTTTCAAGACAAACCACAAACCACTCTTGGATAGGTTATATCCCAGAAAACCTCTCCCATCCCTGATCATAAGAACACTTACAAATCTTCTAACAGAGTCCTGGATTTGTGTAGAGGTAGTACATCTTGAATGGCCTCAGCCAATGTGAGCAAATTCCATTTGCAAAGTTCAGGCTGATTCTTGAAAGAGTTCCTTCTCCTAGCATCTGTTTGTGCAATAAAATACATACAGTCATGGGTGTGCAGAAACGCAATTTATTATATAGATACTGATGAAATACCAGGATTTCTCCTTTTACTACAAAATCATATCTTCACCGCACGCAGTGAAGATACTATTTTTATCTTTCATGTGTGAGGATACTGGTGTGGCCATGGTTATCAACATAATTACCCAATTGCTGTTTTGAAAATGAATAAAAAGTTGTCTTTTATGTGGAAATTCCATCAGTATCTATATAATAAACGGAACATTACATGGCCACTTGGGGATACGAATTTTATCTTCTCGTGCTGAAAGTATCTCTCACGAGTGAGCGCAGCGAACGAGTGAGAGATACTTTCAGCATGAGAAGATAAAATTCGTATCTCCAAGTGGCCATGTAAAATCCTCTATATATGAAGAAAGAATTTGAAGCAGAACAAACAAGTGAACACTTATGATGTGCTCTGAAGGTCAAGCTGGGTTCCAATTTTAGACAATGAGGATAAGTACTTTTTACCTTGGAAATGAATTAGATTTTAACAGTCACTTGAGTATATCCATGGGTGGGGGGGGGTTCTATGCCCATTTTTCCCATGATGATGAATTGGATTTTAGAATGTTGGTTTTTCATGAGGAAGGATTTGTGTATAACTATAAGTAAAAAGGGAATACATGTACATGGTGAAAGATTTTAACAGGAGGGCAGAAACAGGAAAACTTGGGAAAAAAACCTTTAATGAGATGGCAACATTCATCACAAAGTCAATTGTCAACCCACAAGTGATGCAAGGTTTGAGAGTCAAACTCCTGCCACAGAATTAAGAAGGACGTGCTTCATCACTGCATCATCTTGCAACCTAAATTCTGTCAATGGATTGAGATTTAGATATACTCTTCTCTCATGAATAACCTATTCTATTTTTGAATCTTGGAGTCCCCCTTATTGTGGAATTGATCAGTGAGACATGCAGTACATACATGTCACCTTTCACTGTGCGACCCAAGTTAATCTTTACCACTTACCAGATGCTTGACTCATATAATTTGGATCATAATAATCCAGAAATCCAAAAGGCCCATAATCAATTGTGATACCAACAATGCTCATGTTGTCTGTATTTAACACTCTGCAAAAAAATTCTATTTTGAATAAGGAGCAGTCTTATTTAATTTACAGCACAAACAAAATCAAGCCTCAATACCATAATTTGTATGTTTTACCCTTTAATGTGGTTTAAGAGAGATTGAAATTTAATTTCTCCTTACCATTAGTCACCCTTGAATTAAATGCAAACAGCAGAGAGAATATAAGACTTTGTTCCAGTAACCAGTCTTTAGGCTTCAAAAGAACTCTGATCCCTGACATCTTACCATGAAAAAAATGAAAGAGAAATCTACACCCCCCCCTCCTGACACAAGCCCTACCTCAACCCCTTCTTCCTTTATTTTGAGGCAACAAAATGATACTTACAAGAAAGGAGAGCATAATTATTGTCTATTTGTTAATCAAATGTCTGTCTTACCCATGACAAAATCCAACACACTGCCAACTGGCCACAAGGCCAGCAGTTAACAAGGTCAACTCTTTAAAAAAGGCAAGATAGTGTTCTTCAGGACTCTGAAAGTCTCCAGTAGAGATCTGATAAAAAAAATTATTACAATTTATAGCTGCTAAATTTATAAAAATTAAAGAAAAATAGAAAAGATTTAAGATAAATTGAATAAAATCTAATTACATAAACCTGTATAAAAAAAAAAAAAACAACTTTTTATTCACTTTGCAACCCAGAAAATGTTTGTGTAAATGTGTAGTTTAATAATTTGTGTGGTTTTGGGTTTCAATTCACGAACTGTTTCAACTACTTTACCAAAACACATCAACAACTTGGCAAAGGGTGAATTGTCACTGATCCAAATTCAAAACCATTTACTACATGTGATAATGATATTAACCCTTCTACTCACAAGATCTCATTTGTAATTCTCCTAACTGTCTGCCATACAATTCTTATGATGTTAGTTTGGAGAGTTTGGTTTTGAATCAACTAATAAATTATTCCCCCCAATGGATGTCTTTCTTTATTCTCATCACTCAACTGCTTGATATTAAATTCATATAATTGAAGGGAGAAATTCAGCTGATATTTTGCCATTCATGGGAGTTACAGGTAAAGTGTACAGGTTGATCCAGCAGCATGGCTTTAAGGACTGAGTGTGGTTGTAATTATGAAGAAAGTACCCATAGAGCAGTCGGTGGGAATCCAGCATACAATTTGAACTTATCACAGACATACTTGAGGGAAGAAGGTTTTAATGGTGTAGCTTACCAGCTGATGAAGAATGTCTGCTCTACCAGCACTAGGACCTTGATAGCCTGTCACAGGATCAGGTGGTTTGAAAATTTCAAAAGAGCCAAACCTAAGAGAGTTTGGAATTAGTAATCTGTAGCCACAAATTTCATGTTGTGCAGTTTCAGGTGAAAGGATAGTAAATATCTCATTCCATGTTTTAACATATAATACTCATAGTGCCCATTTTGCAAAATATCCATGCAGATTTTATGTTAAACAATCAAATAAGGTATATGTACTCCACAGTTATATAAAACTATAAATGTGGATGTGCAATATGACTCTAAATTTCACAACATATTAGGTAGCACTTAAGTAGACTTGTGAAAAACACAGTCCTCTATGGGTAAACTGCAATGGACAATTGTGTGTTTAATCAATGTTTATAACAATTATGGCCTCTGAACCTCAGAAAGGTTGGAGCAATTCGCAATACTAGAGAAGCTTTTTCTTTTAAAACGTTCCCCGTGTAATCCTTATCTCTTTCTATTAATGTATCTGAGGTTACACAACAGCCAGCTGAAACAAAATAAACAAGGTAACTTGAATAAAGCAAATTACTTCTTAGTCTGGCATAAACATTTGATTTGACAATCATATGTTAACCATAAAAGCTACCTATTTCACCTATTTCATAGATAATTTCTTTTGTTTAGAGATTATCTTTATGTTTTCATCTGGGAAATGCCAGATCAGACCTACAGTATGCCTCCCTTACCTCAACAACAGTCAACTGATAACAAGTCTATGTAAATGTGGGTTTAGGGGAGGGGTGGGTGTGCAGTTTCTCAGATACTGTGATTGATCCAAAAATCCAATCTGAGAGGGTTAGAAAACAATTATCTAATCAAATGTATAAACAAAAATGGGCCAGTTTCATCCAAAGCTTAATGGATGATAACAAACTTAACTATAGGTATGAATGGATCATCTTTTACATGTAGGTATAAACCTTGAACACCCCAACATTTGTATACATATTCTCCATACTGTTCTCTACTGTATTTACCCATGTATGATACGCACTTTATTTCTATAAAAATAACCATCACAATTGTGGTGCGTATTATACATGGATTCCACTGTTTGTCAGGCATGTCCTAATTTGCATACGTTAAAAACAAAACAAAGAAAGTAACACGCTTAAAACTTTAATCAAATAGCTTATTTTCAATGAAAAATTCTAGGTGCATATTAATTTTTTACTCTAAAATCGAGAGGAAAGACAAGTGTTGACATTATAGTAAATTTCTTATTCTTGTTGTCTGAGTAAATAATTGTACGAAGATTTAACTTGTCTTTTTTGCCATAAAAAACTTTTTTTCAGATAAATTTGGTTAAAAACAAGGGTGCGCATCATACATGGGTGTGTATTATACGCGGGCAAATATGGTATACATAATGTACGTGTGCTGACAAGGAGAATTTGTTTGACAATCAAGTGCTTCTTCAGTAAGTGATCATTTCCTTTGTTCTCCTGACCTTAATGTGAGATTCTGAGGGGTGATGTTGTAAGGAGAAATTAGATGTTAGTCACTTGTAGGGGTCAAGGGTTTAAAAAAAATTGTTCAAGACAAGTCATTCCCTTCATTCCTACAGCCAAGCATGAATCTCTTTAATAAGTAGAAACTGTTCCAGGAGATTTTTAAATTGTACCTCTTGTGGTTGGTATTCCCAGGTGATACATGGCCTGAAATAAATAACAAAAAAATCAATGCAGTAAATGGTTTGAACCCGGGGGTAACATGTGAAGGTGTAGTCTGATCGTCCGGGTGAGTGTAGTCCTGAGAAGGACTGTTGTCGGTGGTAGTGACTGACGTTTCGACAACCTGTGCGGA